AGCGACCAGCACTCATGGACCCCCCTTCCTTCGAGAGCCCTGGCCCACGGGATTCCTCCCAGTAGCTCCTTGAAGAGGCCAAAGTCAGCCCTCCTGAGGTCCAGGGTTTTGATCCTGCTTATCGCCCTGCTTCCTCCACGCAGGATCCTGAACTCGACCATTTCATGGTCACTGCAGCCGAGTCTACCTCCAACCTTCACGTCCTCCACCAGTCCCTCCTTGTTTGTTAACACAAGTTCTTACAACTAGTGTATTAACGACAAGCTACTGCAATGGTAAAGTCCAGAATTACTTCAAAATTGCTCTCCATGCCTAGCTTGATGGCCACGAAGCGGTTAAACAGTGAGCAGGGCCTTTGGCTCACGGTTCACAAGTTACCACGTGGCAGCACCACATGGGAGATTCTCCTCTGTGGAAGGAAAGAAGGAAGTAGGATGTGCAGCCTTCACCGTGCCTCCTCCCTCTACAGCAGGGACTTAAAATGTACCAAAGCCAGCTCTCAGGAGAATGACTCCAGGGCGATTTAGCTCCAGGCATAGGAGAGCATGATGTATACGGAGCAGAATAAAAACAAGCAGAGCGCCCACGCTCACCTGAGGGGGACACCACTAACATCAAAGCTCGAAAACCTACAGCCTTTCTCCCCCTCCTTCCCCAACTTCCATGTGAGCATGTAGAGAGAGTGGAGGCTAGGATTTCCAAAATCAAAGGCAAAAATCTATCAGTCACTGTGAATCAAACACAACTTTCTTCGAATGTATTCTAAGCCCATGTAATCCCCTTGCTGGTCTACATGGCAAGAAACATCTACCCCAAGAAAGCAAGTGGGCTGGGTTTGTGAAAGCAGAGCAGGCAGAACAGTGTGACTTACTTGTGTACAGCAATAAAAGTTTTGTTCAGCATTTCAGCTGAATATAGCAGTATCACTACCAGCAGTAGTACACTGGTACAAAGCTTCTAAACCCAGTATCACACACTATAGAGAAGACGTCTCTGTTGTGGAAATGTGGATCCCATGCCTTTGCCAAGAGCACAGCTTTGCCTGTCAAAGACTCCTCCCTGCTTTTGTTTCAAAACCGTGCCATTTTAGTGCTCACTTTAGCGTAAGTATGAATCAGCCTTACACCTCGTTTTTATACAGTGTGCTATTCCTGCACAGCAAATAAAACCCTGTAACTAGATGTGTACAGATTCTGCAGCAGTCAAAGCACAAAATCAACAGCTACAGTTTCAGATCCATGCAGGACTTGAATTCTGGTCCCCCAGTGGCATTAACTAGAACATTACACATCATTTAGTTTCCACAAATCCATCTTTGTAAGCGCAGAGTACAGTGGTGCTCCCGAACACTGTCGGGTTCTCGATTTGATAGCGTTATTCTTTATTTCAAACACACAGTGATGCACACATGCGTGTGCACACGCAACACACTAGCCAAATGCTGATACCAAGTGCACAGCCCCTCGCCTGCAGCAGGATGAGCAGCTTGAAAAGCAATGGCACTTCACAGAACAACTGAAGAGGTGGGAGAAAGAGTTGCAGCGTGTTCTCAGGCATGACATTTTACGGATGCAATGCACTGAAATGCACCTTCCAGCTTTGACTTCTCAGCTGCTGACTCTACTGAAACGAAACCATGCCTTACACAGATGCCTGCCAGCCTGCGCCAGCAGACCGCAGTCCTCCAGCAGGGTGGACAGGGGAAGCTGTTGAGCACCTCAGGTCTCCTTTCGTGAGCCATTCTTCTCATTTTACTTCACACACACCTGCAGCTCCAAGGCTCCCTCTCCAGCTCCCACCAACTCTCCCAAATCCCAGTGCCCCTCAAAGTATGTATGATGTACTCAAGATAATACCAGCAAATCACAATTTGGAGAAAATTAATGCTTAGAGGAATTAGCTCGCAGCCAGTTTCAGTCTTCTGTCTATATTCCCCAAATACACAGAAAACATAAAAGGATTTAAGGTAATACATAATCTGCGATGTGGAGAGAAAAAAGGCAGAAAAAAAGCTGCATGTGTATGCCTACTGTGTTGAACATCACTATTTGGTATACCGAAACAGAAGTTTCTGCCAAACTTCAATGCTTGCTGCCAAGAATGTAGCACAAATCATGCCTTTCTAGCATTTTTGCAAGCTATCCTCTGATTTCAGATTGACAAAGTTGTAATTGTGAGGAAAAACTGCATTGTACATGACAGCAAAATATTTAAACAACCAAAATTGTGCCTAGCACGTTACAACACGTTTCATTTCATAAATATATTTAAACGATGTTATAATGGACTTGGAGAAGAACATGAAGTTAGATTGATAACAGCACAGTGTAAAGTCATTTACAAGCACCAAGACTTTCATAAAGAAAAAGCCTAAACCCAAAGTCCCACTTTTGTAATAGACACGATGAGCCAATCGTTTACATCGGCACCAATACAAATTACTACCTACCTCTTGGGACAGAAAGGGAATGACTTGTGCACATATAGCGTTCAGCCTCTTGACAATTTCTGCCTGCAAGTGACAAGAAAAAAGAAGTTCAATTATATCAGTTCTCAGACGCTATGGTCACCTATGAAAACAGAAGATACATTTGTTTGGGTTTTTTTTATCTCTAGTCATCCTCTGGCCAGAACGCATTATCAAAATAACAAATTCAACAATACCTAGGAAGCCAATCATTCCTGGCTAAAAAGTTTTCTCTAAAAACACACAAAGAAAAGTTAATTCTGGTAACGCAATCAAAGGCATTTACAGAAAAAAATCTTCAGGAAATGTAAGAAGAAAGATAAAGAAAATACTGTGTATTGAACTAAACTCTCTCCTAAGAGGGAAAAAGAAGGATCATTTCAAACTACAACAATGCCACTGTAAGCAAAGGGAACAATTACTTCTATAATAACACTGCATATCATGAGAAAGTTAGCAACGCAATATACAACTTCACTGACAGTCATTCTACCACATATTTCAGAAAGGGATACTGCAGTCCAGTCGTCTTTCATATTTATGCTGTTATCAAACCCAAGGTTAATAGTAGTTACTTTCATGTTGCAACTGTGATCAGAAATGAGTAATATACAATGTTTTATTTCCATACTGGAGATCAATTCTTATTCTGTGTATTTAATCTTCAAATCTGAATAGAGACGGAGGAGATTTGGAAAGAGAAAAGAAGAATTACAGCTCCAGAAACAGAATATTTAAAGCCACATAGACTTTCTTACAATAAATCATAACTTTCTTCTAATAAATTGTAACCAGGGTCAGTTCCTCATTATACAGTAGGACAGAACGGTCTTCCTCTTGCAAAGTCACTAACTGTATGATGAAGACATACAAACTTGTGCAATTTAGGCATCCTTCTTTTAACAGCAACCCTTCCAGCCTCCTTGCTACGCTGTCTTTTAAATTGTGAATGCTGAGAAAAGAACCTTTAGAACAGAAAGGCTCAGAACCAGCAGCAAAAAAGTCAGAATCCTATCTAGAACAGATCTGGGTTCAAGGAACATTGCAGTTACACAGCCACGTCGTACCCAGAAGACATGGTACACTAGAGGTAACAGCACCTGTGAAACTGACTCTGCCCCCTTGTGCACCCTGCACTGTGTGTTAACACATACCGCTTTGCAACGCAATTTCTTCAGTTCTCTGAAATCCATCTGAACTCTGTAGGTTACTTATACAGCAATTTCTGTGTTACGCTGTCCCAGTATCTTCTCACTGGTCTTCACTGTTTATGCAAGTCCTCATCTCGTTAAAGTTATGCATTTTAATACATTTTTTACATTCATCTACCACACCTTTCCTGTTTATTCAGCAGCATAGGTACCTCATAGGACACTTGAGAATATGTTCTGTTCACCACAAAGCTAAATTACCTGATAAGTTCAAAGGTCTGTATGTGCCTATAATATCAGATATCCCACAAGGTAAAACCTAAATACCCCTTTAAACAGACTGTGTTCACTACACTTGTTGACACAGCGATTTACAAACTGCTTGTTACACAGACCACTAAAGGGAGCAACAAGATGTGTGCATCTGAGCTTCAGCCAGAGAGGCTGCATGATCCAATACGGCATTACTTGAGAAAAAAATATTCGATTAAGGAATTATAGACCATAATATGATGCACAGCTCCAAAGTACCTGTGCTGTAGTGGTTCAAGCACCATTAACTTAGTCATTAACAAATTTTGGGTCACAGCCACGCTGCTATTTTTTTTTTAAAGGAATCTCCTGTGTGCTTTAAAACCAAAGAGAAAACTACACATCCTGCTCTTCAAAGCTTTTCCATATGAAAACTCCAAAGTGCTGCCGCCCTGACTTGAGCTGAAGCCCTTGTGACCTGCCGTTTAACACACGTATATGCCTTCGCGAAAAAAGGCATGTGATGCTTTCCACTGCTGCAGAACAACTTCTCTGATCCATCTTTAAAATGCCCGTAACAACCTGACCCCCGGGCAGCTCCCGTGGGGACCCCTTGCCTTGGCTGTGCCCAGCAGAAGACTGCTCTTCCACCACAGCTACGTCAGCTGGGTGCCTCTACTGCATCACTTAGGAACCGAGAATAAAACTGGCTCCAAGTGCCACGCAGGAGCTCAGAATGCAATTTTAAAAGACTTGTAGATTCACAGATTTTTAAGGCTAGAAGGGGCTGCTACAATTGTCTTATCTGACCTCCTGAGCAACACAGGCTGTAAAATTTCACCAACTTCCCCATCAAACCCATAAATTCTAGTTCAGCTAGAATAATGCTTGGTCTACAAAAAAAGTTTTATTCAACTCACTTTGAGGCATTTCTTCTCAATTAAGGTACTCGATCCCAGCTATTTCAAGCTATTTCAGCTATGAAGTTTTTCTTTTGATCACTTCCCTCCCCGCCCCCCAGAAGCAGTATGTCTCTCTTCTACTGCTCTTCTGGCCAAAAAGTGGTTGAAACGTATTTGCTCAGTATTTATATAAAAATTCACCTCCGACAGATTCTGAGCCTGGGAAATGTTAAGCTAAAAAGTGTCTTCCAAGAAGCTGTGCGTAACTGAAAACAGGTGACTGAATATGAACAGTTATACAACCATAATAAGCCTCTGGATATGAACCCCATTGGAGTGCAGAACAGCGAGTCCTTCCATGCAGCATGCAGGAAAGTGAGCTGACAGAGACAGTACCCAGCTCAACCTATGGAGAAGGCAAAGAGCTCGCTAAGAGCTTCAGGGGATGGCAGGACGTTCCCCAGCAGCATTTCTCAGCTAGGCAAGGCGCCTGCTACGCCAGTCACAGCAAGGCCGAGAAGCCCTCACTACTCTCAAGCAGGTGTTTATACTATTTCAAGTTACTAAAACGGTCCTCACTTCCCGTAACAGTGAGCGTCCCCAGTCGCGTGGCTGTGTGTACTGTCCAGTTCCATCACCCTCGACATCACCAATGTGGACCGCAGAGGCACGGCACGACTGAGGCATGGACTGCTCACCTTCGGAGACCGCAGGCAGCAGGAAGGCATGGAGGAAAACGCGGTGGACGTGCACAAGTGACAGAAAGGGTATTACACATTCTGTACCCCAAAAAAGTCTTAAACCAGACATTTTCACACAGTAAATACAAAGTACCCTCCGCCTTGACACTGCAACTGTTTCTGCAATTAGCAGTATGGGACAATACCACAGCAACCAGCTTGACTGTTTACTGCAAAACATACAAGAGAAAGAGTTAGCCGCCTGAAGCTAGCTAGAGAGGCTTTCTTGCGATGCTATCCCAAAACTGGAAGGTGTAACTACTGCTGATGTAAGGTTAGCATCTCAGTAGACCTGTTTCTACTGCCACTAGAAAATTGTTCTTCTTTGCACAAGGTACAAAGTCAGACACAAAATAAAACACGAGTCCACTTCACATCTCTATGCTCATACAGATTTTTACAACCCTACATTTGAAAATCAGCTTAGGTTCTTCTCTTCTCCTAGATGTCAGGCCAATGGGTTTTTCATGATCAACCTAATTGGCAGGAGAAAGAAAAAGTATTATTTCATAAAATCAGGCAGCCAATTCCTCACACAGGAAGTCAAAGTTGCCTCGGAAACACGGCTGCTTCCACGGTCATCTAATTTTGCCTCTTTTGTCCCACGGGACCAGGCTTTAGAGAGGCATCATTTATTTACAGGCCTTTCCACTGGGCTTCAGTTATCGGGCACTAATACTGTGGACACACACACTTCTAATGGCCTATGTTTTGAAACCAAGTATAATCTGATGGCGCAGCGCCTGAACTCCTTTTCCAGCGTAGCCATTAAAGGATGTAGGTTATTGCTGTTGTCACCATTGATATTTGTCATTGTAATGTAATTAGGGCCCTAAAATGATGCATTACAGCCCTTGGCACAGCTTCTATTAAAATCTTTTCTTCTGCTCACTGAACTGTGACCTGCTTTCTGATGAATAACAGACAGACAGCTTTAGGGTGAGGAGCAGATTCATCAAAGAAGTATTTTTCAGCTCTGGAAATAAAATAAATAAATAACAGAGGGCAACCTAAGAAGCAAAGCATAAGGAACGAAGGGGAGGAAAAAAAGGAAAAAAAAAAAAAAGCACATAGCACATTTGAATTTCATCTGACCACTTGAAATTCTGATTGCATCTGATGAATCTTTCTTAGGACAATATATTCCCAGCCTGTGAATCACATGGTTAATCAGGGCTCTAATCTGCTATCCATCAGCCTATGCCAGCACTGTAACTTCCAATCAAATTTATAGGTTATGTGGGTCACGCATCCCTGAACAACTACATTCACGGATATCCCATTTAAATGGGCATAGATTCTAAAATGCTGTTGTTAGGGTTACTGAATGTTATAATACTATTCAGAGCTTTATGAAAGCTCCTGATAAACAGCTGCTAAATTATTGCCTGTGGATACAGCGTGATGCTCTGAAATAGCATTAATGGCCCAATAAAAGGGCGATTGTTCATGCCAAAATATAAAAAGGATAGCTTTTGCTGCCATAGTTTGTCAAATATGTTAACAAACACCGACACTTCTATTACCCCTTTCCCTAAACACAAAAGATGTTTGGTTTTGCATAAAAACCCACCAGCACGGAATTAGAAAAGATGAGGGAGAGGCAGGCAGGGAAGGGTCGGGCTGGAATCGTCATTTTACTTATCCAATGCAAGATTGTATCATTTGCATCCTTTGGGAGACACCTACAAAAGACACTATTTTAACAGTTTTGAGCTCTTTTCATAGGCACTGATGTGGCATCTTTTTTAAAAAGAGAAAGATTAAATATTCATTAACTACAATGTTAATAACGTTTTTGCTTTGTTATGAATATAAAGAGACAATAATAAAACCACTGTGCCAGAATCTGATCCAAGTAACGGAATGAAGACCCACATCAGCTAACTGTCCCTTAGCATCACTGCAGGGACACAACATAAGAGCAGCAGCTTAGGTCCCCAGTTCAGCCAACAAAATCTTTTTCACCAAAGCCGATGGTTAAATGGTACCTAAGTGCC